TACAACCTGACAATAAAAACAAAACCCAATTTGAAGATGGGTATAAGCTGGGGCGCTGGGTGGCTCCATCGGTCAAGCGTCCAACTCTTGGTTTCAGCTCAGGTCATGATCTCAGGGTGGTGAGATCCTCTGTGTTGGGCATGGAGTCCGCCTAAGATTCTCTCTCTCCCCCTCTGCCCCTCCCCTCCTGCTCCCACATGCTCTCTCTAAAGTAAAATAAAATAAAAATAAAAGTCTGAATCTTTAAAAGAAATGGGCATAGGCTTGTTTGAGTAGACATTTCTCCGAAGAAGATATACACATGGCCAATAAGCACATGGAAAGATGCTGAGCATCGTCAGTCATAAGGGAGATGCAAATCGAGACCACAGTGAGGTACCACTTCACCCACTAGGATGGCTCTGAGGGGAACAAGGAATGAAAACAAGTCGGGGAGCATGTGGAGAAGCCAGAACTCTCACACGCTGCTGGTGGGAACGTGAAGGTGAGTAACTGCTTTGGAAAGCAGTGTGGCACTTCCTCAAGACGTTAAACGTGGACTTTCCAGATGACCCAGAGATTCTGCTCCTACATATGCACCCGGAAGAACCAAAAGCCTGTGCTTAAGAAAAAATGTATACATAAGTATACATAGGAGCATTATTCCTAATACCCAAAAGTGGAGACAATCCAGATGTCCGTCAACTGACAAATGGATAAACGAGCTCCATGTGATGGAAGAGTCTTCGGCTATCAGAGGGGACGGGTATATACTACACGGGGGTGAGTGAACCTCGAAAGCACACTCCGTGAAAGCAGCCAGATACGGAGGCCCCATATGTGTGACCCGTGTGTGTGAAGTGTCCAGAACAGACACTTTATAGAGAAAGTAGCCTGGCGGTCGCTGGGGGATGGGAGGGGTGGGCGACTCTTCATGGGCTCAAGTTCTTTCTTAAAGTGATGAAAACGTAAAATTTTAGAGTGGTGATGGTGGCCAACTCTAAATACACTAAACCCCACTGAATCGCACACCTCTAAAAGGATGAATTTTATGGCATAGGAATTACATCTAAATAAAACTTTTTTTTAAAGGTGAATGACACAACGAGCTGTCTCTTGAACTAAGAAGTGGAGGCGGGACTCGTTGCAAACCCCAGGGGGACAGGGACCCCCAGGGTCCCAGGGCAGCCTCCTGCACCGTGTCTGTCCTGCTCACGGCGCAGGCACCCATGCCCCTGAGCCCCTGGCGTGGTGCCCGCCGTCGCAGCAGGTCCCTAAACGGCAGTCAGCAGCCTTCAAACAGCCCACCTGGAGGCTCTCCGTCCCTGGCCCTAATGTCTCCTCCACCTGCCGGTCTCGGTCCCCCTTCTCCACCACCACAGGGCACCCCGTTCCTGCAGGCGGTCTATCCCCCACTGAATCACGAAGGGCAACCCCTTCACCAAGTCTGGTGGATGAAAAACACCACCGGGGTGATTTTTTTTTTTTTTCTTTAAGGCGGATTCCTGAGGCTCAGCACAGTGAAATTCTGAGCCAGTATGTCTGGCTGGGTGTGGGATTCGTGAAGCTCCCCCAGGTGATTCTCATGATCAACCAGATCTGGGCACCTTTGATCCACTCCGTTCACTCTCCCACCCAGGGCTACAGCACTCCTGCCAAGCCCTTGACTCAGCCTTTCCAAGGAGCATTCCCTGGCTTGCCTCGCCCGAGTGGGCTGCCCCACCCACGGGCTCATCCCCGCCTTCCTTAGTGTGCGTCCGGGACCACCACCACCTGCGTGGCCCGTCAACCCCCCTCCCCCAACTAGACTAAAACTCTTTGAAGAAGGGGACTGTGTGTTCTTCATTGTTTTACCCCCAACACCTGACTCATGGTAAGGGCTCAATATATTTGTGGAAAGAAGGAAGGAAGGAAGGAAGGAAGGAAGGAAGGAAGGAAGGAAGGAAGGAAGGAGCGTCACCAGAAATCTACTAATAGTCATTAAGGTGGGATAACCGTGCTTACAAATCATTGGGTACAAAGAATTGGGCAGTGACGATATTTATCTGGATATTATATAAAGCCAATTAGAATTTGATGGATGGATCAGTTCCGAAGATCTGACTGGAAGCTAGCTGCCCTTTGGAGAAGCTGGTCGAGCTGTTCTCACAAGAGCAACATTTAGGAAGACGGACCGTTTACCGGAAGGGTCTGATGTTTGTCTGAGGACCAAGAATGAACTTTGAACCACACTGTCTTGGCTGTAAGTGCCAAAGGAAAGTAGGGGCTGACTGTTTCTCAAGCTGGGAGGACCTAGACCCATCCATCATCCAGCCAGCCGAGGGCAATTTCCTGTTTTGGGGGGTCCGAAGCTCCAACAACTCTGGAGGCCCTATTTAAGACAGATCTTGTTTCTCTAATGTCCACAGACTTCCAGCACCAGGAGCCTAGGACACACTCAGTTCTGCGACACCGGATCGGACTCTGCTGCTTTGCAACATGCCAGGTGAGTCTCCACAGTGGACGGCGGGAGTCTTCCTGGAAGCCGTTCCCATCCTGGACAGCTGGCGACAACTCAGCTACACACCTTAAAGCATGCACACCACATAAATAGGTCCCCGTGGCCCATACTGAGTGTATTCCCAGCGCCACGTCCTCCTAGCTGGGTCTCAAAATGCCCTGGCCCCTCCGTTGTCACTTGACTTCGGGGGAGGGTGATGGGGACAAGCTGGGCTAGAGACAGAGGTTTCAACTTTAGAAATTTTTATAAAATCGTAGAACTAGGGGCACCTGGGCAGCTCCATCAGTGAAGAGTCTGCCTTCGGCTCAAGTCATGATCCTGGGGTCTTGGGTCTTCCTCTGCCCCTCCCCCCCACACTCTCTCTCTCTCAAATAAATACAATCTTAAAACAAAAACAAACATATAACCATGAGAGCACATAGTAGGGCCCCTCCCAGAGCCTCGGAAGGGGCCGGTGCGAGCAGGGTCTCAAGAGTGAGGGCCAAAGCTTAAACTCCCATGGCTTCACAGTCAATGCCTTGTGTGGCCAGCAAGCGTTCGTCGAGTGCCTATTCTGTGCCAGGGACTAATTCAGGTGCCAGGAACGCAGCAGTGAACAAAATAACCAAGGTCCCTGACTTGATGGCGCTTCTGTTCCAGTCCAGCCAAAGTAGATGTGTCCCCCCGGCTCTTGAGGGTGGGCACGATGGACGCATGGGCCCCCGCTGCCCTACGCTGAATAAGTATTTGTGGAATGAATGAATGGACATTTCAGAACTAAAAATGGTCACGCTATGGAGGTTCGGGACGTCAAAAATGAACGTTAGGACAAATTACAAGGTGGATCCAAAAGCCGATGGAAGGTTCTGAGGATGGTAATGACATGGGCGTGGCCCTCTGTTCTCCAGGACACAGCAGGACATGTGCGGGTACTGGTGGGTAACCAGCCAGCCTCCTCCTTTCTGGAACTAAATTGGCACTCTAGCGAGGACGCCTCCATGGCGGGCCCGCCCTCAGTCCTGAGAGGTGAAAACGGACCAGTCCCCACTGTGGTGTTTGTTGCTGCCTCGTCCTCTGCTTCTGCCCCCCACCCCGGCAGCCAGGAGCCGCGCATGGGCCCTGGCAGGTGCCCACCCCCCACCCCCGTCCCACTACTCAGCACGCGGGCAGCCTCGCTCTCCCGCTGACCCCTCCGCTGACCCCCACCCCTGCTGCACAGAGAGAGAGGACATCAGGTGACGATGCCCACTGTTGCCTGTCCCCAGACCTGCAAAGTTACCTGTGTCCAAGTCCCCCGTCTGTCCCTCCACTCCTGTCGGCGTGGGACGGCCCCAGCTGCTTGGCTGGCTCGCGGCGACACTGAGCCATCAGGGCAGCTGTGTGGGGCTCAGTGGAAAACTGGCCCCCACTTTAAAGTGGGGGTAATCACAGTTTAGCAGGTCATTGCGGGAGTGATAGGGGATACTGGGGATTAAAGGCTCCGTCCTGTGCCTGACACAGGTCCTCTCTGTCGGGGTGACAGTTACTACTGTCCTCCGGGCGAGGGGCCCTCAGTGTCCTGTGGGAGCCCCTCCTCCTCCCTGCGAGGGCATGCGCACCTGCTCTGGCCCCAGTCTGACTCTCTTTTCGCTCCCCCGCCCCCCTCATCCCAGCGACTCCGTGGCTTCTGTCACCACCCAGAGCTGAAGACGGGTGACCCACCTCTCACGGGGCTCCAGACGCACCATCCAAATGCCCACTGCCGTCCCTGCTCCCACTCCCCACAGGCCCTCGAAGTCCGCGTGTTCAAAAACAGCTCATCATCTTTCCCCACAAACTGCTTCTTCCTCCTGCTGCCTGTTCAGCTAGAAACGGGCCTGCCTTCATGTCCCCCCTTGCCAATGCATGACAGGCCTTGTTGGCTGTGCCGAGGACTCTTCCAGTCTCCTCACCTCTAGCGTCATCCCTCCCGGCCTCTTGCTTCCGAATTCCCTCCCTCCTGTAGGATGAAGCCTCAGCCCGGTTGGCAGTTGGCGGGGCTTGGAGGCCAGGCTGGGCTCCCTGCTGTCCGCGCTCCCCCTCCCTCTGGCTGTCCCTATCCTCCCTCCAGGCATGCCGCCCCGAAGCACAAGGCACTGAGGGACATGATGGCCGGCTGAGTTAATGACCCTCCGGGTCAGCTGTGTCTCTGTGGCAGCCAGGAAAGCAGGGGCCAGGTGCCAAGAACCTTCTAGAACTCTCTTTGTGGGTATCTTAGCAGCGGCTGCAAACATTCTTTCCAGAGTGATTGTGAGCCTTGGGCTCTGGGAAGGCGGTGGAAGAGGTGGCGGCCTTCCCCTGTCGGAGACCTCGGGTTCCCACTTCTCTGAGTCACCACTCCCCTCCCCCTCCAATTTCTTGCCCGCCACTCGGGCTCTGTGCCTTCACCCACTTCTCCCTCCCTCTGCCCTGGCAGAGGAGGGGTTCCCCCCTGCAGCCCAGGTTAGCCCCTCTCCCACTTGGGGGCTGTGATCCTCCACCTGTCCCCTCTGTCTTTACCTGTAACTGTGTCCCCCACCCCCACCTGCAGTCCTGTTCCCCGCGTGGCCTCTTCCAGCCCGAAGCAGCTCCCAGCGAAACACCACTCGCCTCTCTTCACCCACAGACTCCTCAAAAAGGACTTCCTGGCATTGAAAAGACAAGAGACAAGTGTTGGCGAGAACGTGGAACAAAGGGGACCCTTGCGCCCTGCTGGTGAGGATGCGAGTTGTACCTTCAAACCCGAGTGATAGGACCGCCGTATGGCCCAGCAGTTCCGCTTGTGGGTGTGAATCCAAAGGAAACAAAATCCCCGTGTCCTAGAGATGCCTGCACACCCGTGTTCACGGCGCGTCCACAACCGCCAAGACACAGAAGCAACCCACGGGCTGAGGTCGCCGTTTCGCAGTAGGAAGTTGGGTCCTCGTGCCCACACCGCACGCGGACACGTGGCGGCGGGCCCATCCCACCCTGATAAGACAAAGAAAACGATCATAAGGAAGGAGAAGGAGAAGAGAGAGAGGAAACAGGATTTCCTCGTGCACGTCCTGCCTGCCCTGTTCTCAGCTCCCCCTTACTCCTTCTTCCTCGCCCCCCTAGGGCAGTTCCCCACGGAGAATGCCCTCTCCAGGTCACCAATAAATGTCCTTCCCCAGCCCAGACCCCGGGGCCCGCCCCGACCCCACTGACATGGGTGCGTGGGGCTTTCTGCCTCACCTTCCGCATCACCCAGCGGGAATCTACTGAGGACCAGTCCTGCGTGCAGCTCTGTGCTGGGGGCGGGGGGACATGGACAGCGTCAGGTGGTCCCTGAATGCAGAGATGCGACTGAGATGAACACGCGCGGAGCAGTGGATGGCAGAATGCAAGTACGTGCTGAATTCCATGGCGCCGTCCGTCCGTCTAGTCGGGCAGGGAAGCGGGAGAACTGCGAGGCTGGACACGCCCGAGGCGATTTTCAAGCATAAGGTACCAGCTGAGCTGAATACGGCGGGCAGGATTTGCAGGGGCAGGGTGGGGTTAGAGTACGAAGTGAGCAACAGGCTCCCTCAGATGTTTTCTTCATACTAAAGTGTAAATGACTGACAAGACCTTCCAATGAAACCTGTGAATCATCCTTGCTTTTTGCATTAAAGCCTTCAACTAAGAAGATGCAGCCTTACTGATAGAATCTCAGGCCTCTACTCTGAGTTGGAGAAGAATCTCAGAGCAAAACCCAGATACGCCTCTATCCCTCCCTCTCCGACTGCAAGTTCTCCTACATGAGACCCGTGCACGAATTTCCCAGCTCTGCTGTGCAGATACTTCCCTTACGCTGAGGTCAGAGCCAGGTTTCGGCCTGCTCAGGCTCACACGACCTCCCGTCCTCCCAGCGGGCTGTTTGTTCTCTGTGTCCTTTGATATCAATCTCTGTTCACTGGGCTTTTATAGCCCAAGTGTTATTTTAATCAAAACCAAGTTTTATTTTTTTAAAAATCTTTTCTTCTTTTGTACCCCCTGGCGCTCCCCTGTATCACCGAATAATCCTATCAGATATTCATATAATGTTTCAAAACGCTCTGCATGGCACTGGTCAGCTCAATGCTTTTCACAACGGTGCTGTCATTGTCCCTAGTTATGGGTGAGGACACAGAGGCACAGTCAAATTACTTGCCTTTTACAGGGGCGCCTGGGGGGCTCAGTTGGTGAAGCGTCTGCCTTTGGCTCAGGTCATGATCCTGGGTCCTGGGATCGAGTCCCTAATCAGACTCCCTCCTCAGCGGGGAGCCTGCTTCTCCCTCTCCTTCTTCCCCTCTGCCCTGCTCTCTCTCTCTCTCTCAAATAAATAAATAAAATCTTAAAAAAAAAAAAAAAAGAGCTATGGAAAGCTTCCAAAGGGTTTTAATGGAGGGGGTGTGGAGTTAAAATGGTCAGATTTTACCTTTTAAAAACAAGTCTTACTTTTCCATTAATTTAAACTCAATGCGTTTTCATAATCATTATAACAGGGAATTAACGACCCGTTACAGACATTTTCACATATGCACAGAAGTTTGGGGGCTGGTATCACGTAAGCAAGGGTTCTTCGTGATGCCCTTGCCTCTGAGAACACGCATGGACAACCGCCTCCATCTGCAAGGAGCTCAGCCTGTTGTGAGTGGCCGCGTGACCCAGCTCTGGTCACTGAGAAAAAGCAGAATCTGCCCTGGGTTCAGGCAGACGTTTTACTTTCCAGATGCAAGGACAGTGTCTGGTTAGCCTGGCCCCGTCCCCTTCTTCCTGCCTTAAAAATGAGTCCTGGGGGCACAGCAGCCGTCTGGCCAAGCCCGAGGACAAAATCCCACACGGTAAGGTTGGTGGGACAGGAAGAAGAACCTGAGTCTTGGATGGCCCAGCCTGAAGCGCCCACTTCCCGTCTCCTTGTTAGATGAGGAAGATGCCTGTCTCTCCAGTGGAGCCCCTGGAAATCTGGTTTTCTGACTCCTGCTGTTGAGCGTAGTTGAGCTCTCCGATTGGAAATGGACAGTCTGCAAAATTAGATCAAACGGCACCGCGCGGCATTCCCCCCTGGGGGCTGTTCCCATCTTTGGACGCTTGGATAATTCAAAGGAAGAAGGCTTTGCTTTTATTGCTGACATCCTGTCCCCCTTCTCAGCAGGAGCCGTAATGGAAGCAGTCATTCTGCCTTGTGTGTTTTGTCTCCTGAAAGGGAAAGGGCAAGCATCGAGGCTTCGGGTGGAAAACGCAGCTACACCGCGTCAGAATGTGGAATGTGCTGTTCTCATTTATTTTTTAATACAAACCCATCTTTGCATGTGGGCACTGGCAAAAAAAAAAAAAAAAAAATTGGTGGTTACGAAATACTGACGAAGGAGCTAACATAGGAGGTGAGTGACACATGGCAAAAGAATCTTGTCTTCAAATTACACAGGACGCCACCACTGTGGTCCGTGACCCAGCGCCCACATTCTTTCCATCTTTAGCCCACAGGGCTCCGGCAAAATAGAGCGTCCCCTCCATTTGTTAAGTGGACGTGTAGCCACACGGAAAAGCCGCTGGAAGGTCGGTGCAGCCGGCCTGCAGCCTGCGACTGCCCCTCAGCACCATCCAGCTCCCTCGAGAAGAAATAGAAAGGGTTTGTGCCACACTCGGGGATGAAGTATCCTCTATTCTGTACCTACTGCAGTGCCAGAACAGTTCCTGTGTCTTTATGCACAGAGGGGGTGTCAAAGCTGTGTGTCCAGGCAGAGAAGACGTTGCAGTTCTAGACACACACTCTCAAGAAGCCCATAAGTCTACCACATGAGGGACTTTTCGGGACTAACGGCTGTCTTTCCAGCAAAGCAGCCCCTACCACCAAGAATACTGGTTAGTATCTCAGGGGCCAAGATAGAATCAGAGCAATGTGTAAACTCTCGTGCCCTCGAGAGAAGCCCACGAAGGGCTATCTGGCTGAGGAGGGACGTTTCAAAGGAACACACGCAGCTGTGTGGGCGGCCGACCGAAAATGTGAAACGCTAACCTGTGTGCATAGTGAAGCCTCCTTGGCTCATAACGGAGGGGAAATCCCTCCGGTGGGGTCTGGCTGAAGCTCCAAATTAAGAGAACGAAGCTATAATCCCCATGACCTTGAGCTGGCAGCTGAAGACTTGAATATATGTCCATTTTCAGTCACTAAATTTTTCTAACATCTGGAGCAGGATTAAAGCCCAAAGAGGTTTAAGAACTTGTAATGATGCTAATTGTGGTCCGGCTGTCAGGAAAACAGATCATCGGGCACATAAAGCCTCTTTTGGGGTGGAAATGGACGTTTTGCCAAATTTGGTCCCCTCTTAGAAATGGCCTGGTCAGCTCTCTGAACATTACTTGAACTTGAGAAGTCCATAGTTGCTTCACTGGGTGAAATAGGCTTCCTGGTGTCTTAAGTAGATTTACAAATCTACAGAAAGTCTAAAAAGTTTCCAGTTCCCCATTTTGGGGGAAAAAAAGAAATATTATAAATAGATGCACAGAAAAGTACCTTAGGAAAAACTTGGAAAGATCTATGGGGGAGTAGAATGACTACTTTTTAATGCACTTCACATTTTCCAAATTTTATGAACGTGAGTTACTTTTATAACCAGGAAACTTTATAAACTTTTTAAGAAGGAAAAAAATGCTTCGAGATACTCCTTAAAAACCCAGGTGGCCCCTTGTCGGGGGGACAGGTGAATGGATTCTGCCGTGGCCCCTCGCTGGCCCCTCCCTCGTAACCGGGGTACTGGGGATCCACTCCGTGAGACTCAGCGCGATAGTGCGTATAGTAGATGCTCAGGAAAGGCCTGTTAGCATCATTAGTCCTCCTCACACGATGTTCAGTGCTCACAGCCCTTTCAGAGGGCCCCCGGGGTCGGATTCCTTTTGAGGAGAAATTTACCCGCATTTCAAAGTGGAAAAAGACCCCAGACTGTCCAGAAAACAGGATGAAGGAAGAGTCCTCTCATTGCTCCAAAGTAGGGGGATCCTCCGTCCCCCTCAGGCCCCACGACCTCCGTGGGGAGGAGAGGGATGGCGGGAGGTCGCCAGTGTTGGGGGGCAGAGTCTGGCTCCCACCCCCACCCGCTGGCTTCCAGACAGAGAACAAATGTGAGGCTCTCAGGACCACTTGTCGGGGATCCCCAGGCCTGGGGTCGTATGCGTGACCAAGGACACCCAACTGGCCTGCCGCCCTGGCTGGGGACTATTTCAGGTCTCACCCTGTGTCCCCTGCCCCGTGAGCAAAGCCTCCAGAAATGCTTTGACCTCTTCAAGGACAGAAAGGCCCCACAGCCTGCCCCGCCTGGAGGCCAGCTTCTGCTGACTCAGCCCCAGCGAGGATAGGGTTTCTTTCCTGGGTGGAGACAGACTGCTCCCCCCGCCCCCGCCCAAGGCCGGAGCTTTCGGGGAACAGGACCAGGAACATCCTTGCTCCAGGTCAAAGCCCTCGTGGAGACGTTCCACTCAGAGTTTTCTGGTCGTTTCAGCTGACGGTGTCTGATGGGAGCTGCTTCCTCTGGGGGCAGGCGGCGAGGCAGCGTCTACAAAGCTGGGCTGGTGACCACCGCGTACGTGCCCTGACGCTGGGCTCAGCAGCTTCTCTGTGGCTGTGCTTCCTCCTCACAACAACCCCGAGAGGCAAGCACAGCTGCCGCTACTACTTCATACATCCCTGGCCCCAAATTACTGTACGCCCACAGCCACCCTGTCGTGCCTGCATGCCAGGGAGCGCCCTCTGCTCCCTCTCTCCCTCTCTCGTGGAATTTCTCAAGGATGACCAGTGCCAACATGCTCCTGGTCTTTATGTATCCAAAGGAACAACTCCCATTTGCTCTTCTTTCTCTCCACATTCCCGCCTCGCTTACCCCGAGCTCTTCCCCGTCAGATGCCGCGGGAAGGTTTCCAACGTGGGTTCTCGAGATCATGTCCCCAAAGACGGATGCCCTGCGTCGTCCGCTCCCATATTCTC